GGGAATGAGATGTGCCAATGCTTATACAACTGTATACCAATTAACATTGGCCTATCATTAATGTTTCCCTAATTACAAACTAATACATGTACACTATTCAGTGGTTGTCGTTTGTTGCAGTGTTACATATGGGCAATAATTTGGTATTGGGACTGTTTCTGATAACGATAGAAAAGTGATAAAATATTGTATTTTGTTGAGAGAAATTGTTGCTCCACCATCAAATGCTATTATTTCTATTAAAATATAGGTGCTTTCTAATCTCCCCTAGAGGGAATTTGAAATAAACAAATGTTTAAGATTATCAGGCCACTTTTGTATGTCGTTTCTTACCGTTATTTTCGCTTCCGAAGTGGGTGACGCTGCCCGATTTAAAGATAATCGTTGCCTGCAAAATCGTAACTTTTGCTTTCAAATAATAAAAAACATCGATCAAAAAGAATAGTCAGAAGAAATTGCCAAGAACTTTAAGTATTTTTGTAGCAGGTGTAAGAAAAGTAGCGTTATTTTGGTTTCCGATTTCGTAACGCAAATTTTAGATGGTGTAGTCTGCTTTATTGTACTTGAATTATTCATAACAATATGCAAATATGAACTCTCATGAGATGTTCAAACAGGTAAATCATTGATTATTTACATTCTAGTTTTGTTCTTTGTAATAATTAAGTTAGAAAATGACGTTATCGTTATGCGTTACATTTCACACGAAACAGAAGTCCATTTTATTTACTTTTTTTTATTTAAATAGTTTTTGTCGTTCAGTCCAAATCATTTCCGGTCATACGTGAAACGTGTGGCTAACATGTGATTAAGCGCTTACGGCCGGGTATATGAAATATTAGGTCTAAGCATCGTTTTTGTTTCCAACGGGATAGTAGCAAGCATATTATGTAGACTGTTTTCATATTGTTTAAAAAAGGAAAATACAATTTTCAAAGAGATCGCGCCGGGGGTCTATTATTTTTCATACGTGCATAATGTTAAACATACGATCTTGAGTGAAAATAAATGCCCAACGGCTTGACAAAATCAATTTCTTATTCGGGGGACGTTACAACACACTTTGTTTCCGGATAACGATGAAAAGGGTCCTTGGAAAATTCTATCAACATTACATTTCTTATCATTCTGCCGATGCTTGTTGAATTGATTTTGCTTTAGCAGTAAATTGTACTTGATATTTAAGGTAAATAAAGATAATTTTTAAAAAAATACATGTTGATATACCCTTACACTTGGAATGTACAGAGTTGGTATCTTTGTCACAAATTTTTTTTTTTTTTTAATTTTAATCATATTCTGCAAACACTTTTCAAAAATGCAATAATATTGTCAAAGGAGAAGTAAACTTTTACCATGCATGACTTGAAAGGAAGTACTTTATCGATTTTAGCCCACTAAAGAAGGTTAACAAAAAAATATGTGGAAACCATGTAGATGGTGTACAGGTCACAGATAGCACATGTACAGATGCCTATTATAAGATTTTAATTCCAAGTTAAAAGTTTTTTACTTTACTGGATTAATAGGAATTTGACATTGGAATTAATTGTATAAAACTGGAATTTAAAAACCAATAAATACATTTTTTTCGCTAAAACATCAAGATACAACGATTATGGTATCCTGTAACAGTAAAGAAAACGTTGAAATTTCTGAATAAATTGCACTAATTTTTTTCAAAACAAACACATATTCAGGAGTTTAATAGTAATACTATTACATTTAAGACAGACTTTAACCAGAGATGCAAATCTAAATGCATAAGTATGCCAGTAATAAATCAATACACGGAAACGGCCAATGTTGTATCCAGTTCAGTTGTATGCGTCACAATTTCATAGCTTTTCAAAAGTGTTAGTTCCCTTCAGGTAAGTAGTGCCGGTTCACTGCCTGCATGGCCAATATATCAAAACACTTTTCTTTTCAACTTAAAAGTAACATTTTGCTTTGAAAATATGTTCACCTAGATATCAAATTTGCCATAAAACATTGCATGAAATAACATGTCACTTTAATGTTGACATGTAAAATAAGCATTTTTACAGTTGCCCTTGCTGAAAGGAACTAGGGTTCTGTTTAATCTAAGGACTTGTGACTTTGAAGATCGGTCATAATTTGTATTGAATGATAAGAAGTTACCATCAAACTTGTGACCTTTAGAGAAACGAGCCCAATAACAACTTACCAGAATTTTTTTTTTAATCAGATTTATATATTTGTGGTCACAAATTTTGGAAAGAAATTTAGTGAAATAAACTAGGCTATTCTTTTTGGTATATGAGGTTTTTGGTTATATTTCTGTAATCCATGGTACTTAATTGTAATTTTCCAGCAGTTGTAATGAATGGGTGTAAACAATTAATATAGGATTTCATTGAATTTCTATCATGTCTATTCACCCACAAAATAATGTTTTGTATATGGAATCTTGTCTTTATAAAAAAGAAGATGTGGTATGATTGCCAATTAGACAACTCTCCACAAGAGACCAAATGATACAGAAATTTACAGCTGAGCTACAGGTCACCGTACGGCCTTCAACAATGAGCAAAGCCCATACCACATAGTCAGCTATAAAAGGTCCCGAAATCACAAACGTAAAACAATTCAAACTTTTATTGGATATAAGAAGATTTTGTGTGAGTGCCAATGAGACAACTCTCCATCTAAGTCAAAATTTATAAAAGTAAACCAATATAGGTCAAAGTACGGTCTTCAACACGAAGCCTTGGCTCACACCGAACAGCAAGCTATAAAGGGCCCCAAAAATACTAGTGTAAAACCATTCGAACGGGAAAACCAACAGTCTAATCTATATAAAAACATGCAACTGAACTAGTATACATATTTGTTTAGGGGCCAGCTAAAGGACGCCTCCGGTGCGGGAGTTTCTCGCTACATTGAAGACCTATTGGTGGACTTCAGCTGTTGTCTGCTCTATGGTCGGGTTGTTGTCTCTTTGACACATTCCCCATTTCCATTCTCAATTTTAAATTTTACAAAAAGCAAGGGACAGGGTGGACGTTACAAGATACTACTTATACTGTGGATAAAATGGACATCACTCACATATTGGATGTTCAAAACATTAATATGTTTGTTGGATCATGCTTTTTGTTTTGTGTTCAATAAAATTTAGAAATTTAAAATGTCCTGCATCTTTCCAATTGAATCAAAAGTGAGAGCTGAGAAAGTGCCTCCCAACACCCCATACATTCACTTCTGGAACAGCCCCTTATAGAAAAGTACATTATATAAGATAAGTAGCACTAGCTAGATCTCCCAGTTTTTACAGTGCTTGAATTTTCTGGTTAGTGACGCATAAGCACAAAGTGTTAACCATGCAATTGTGTTACTGAGCTAGCTAGCACACTGCATTGGGTTTCTAAGGGCATGAAGGGTTAGTAGGCACATGTGCTACATATAAAAGTGTATATAAGAATTATAACAAAAAGCAAGAGAAAATACATTGGTAGTCAAAATCAGTAGATGCAAGTCGGCGCTCAAAATAATTTATTATAGTGACATCCTAAAGTGCCCTTGTTTCTATATTCTCATAGTTTTTATTGTCTATTGGAAAAATTATCAAAAACAGTCCTAAATTTAAAAACCAAAGTTATAAGTAACATTATCAAGAAAAAGTTTACTGTACAGATTATTTTAAGCTGATTTTCCAATTAAAATAAAACTAAATAAATGCTTTCGGTTTCTTGAGGTTTCCTGTCGCGTTTAAAAAAAACCTTAATTTAACATTGAAAATACATTTTAAATATTAACATGAAGCAAGTAACACTAGTAATGGTGTTCATTTATGTCTTTTGAAATAAATTGTGCAAAATAAAGAAAATAAAGTTTTGTTTCCTGTTTGGTTTCCTGTCACGAAAACGGTGAATCAAAATGGATTAATTTTTCCTCAAAAAACCCACTTGTTCCATTAATACTATTCTCACACCAACACAACCCACAGAATAAAAGTTAAAGTTTTAGAACTTAAAAAAAAAGATACAAAAAGAAACCAAAGGCCGAATACCAAATTATTGCCCATATTTGTTTTTCATTCATTTTTTGTACTTAAATTAGGCTGTTAGTTTTCTCGTTTGAATTGTTTTATATTTGTCATTTCGGGGCCTTCTATAGCTGACTATGCGGTATGGGCTTTGCTCATTGTTGAAGGCCGTACAGTGACATATAGTTGTTAATCTCTGTGTCATTTGGTCTCTTGTGAAGAGTTGTCTCATGGGCAATCACACCACATCTTCTTTTTCATGTTTTTTATAAGTAAAGTTTCAAAGTCAATAGACCATGACTGAGGGGGCGGCACAAATTATCTCCATGGCAATGATATATGCCAATGCTTATACAACTGCATACCAAATATCATTGACCTTCCACTAGTGGTTCCCCTTAAACTGACCTAATCACAAACTAATACATGTAAACTATTAGCAAAAGTTTCAAAGTCAATAGACCATGACTGAGGGGGCAGGGCCAAATTATTTCCATGACAATGAGATGTGCCAATGATAATACAATTGCATATCAAATATCATTGACCTAACACTAGTGGTTCACCATAAACTAGACCTAATCACAAACTAATACACGTAAACTAAGCAAAAGTTTCAAATTCAATAGACCATGGACATGACTGAGGGGGCAGGGCCAAATAATTTCCATGGCAATGAGATGTGCCAATGATTTAACAACTGCATACCAAATATCATTGACCTTACACTAGTGGTTCACCATAAACTAGACCTAATCACAAACTAATACATTGTTGACGCCGCCGCCGCCGTGTGGAAATATTTGACAGACAGACAGACGGATGGAGTGCAAACCTAAAGTCCCCTTCGACTTCGTCAGTAAGGGACTAAAAATAGCTGTAGATAATCACACTAAGGGTAAAACTGCTATAAGACAATTAACATCAATTTGAAAAAAATATACATCTTTCAGTCTTGCGTGAAGTTCAGTGAACTATATTATATGGTTACCTTTTTTCTCATGTCTGTCTTTGAGTTTCTTTATTCCTGAAACAAGACAAACTGCCTAGATGTTTCATAGTCTAAATATTTCTATAACTGAAACCCAACATTGTACAACATAATTTTGTCATAAAGGTAAAGCAAAAACAATATTTATATCTCAAGTCATTTTTTTATCAATAATTTACAAAATTGAAGATTTAACAAATTGAACACAACTGACGAAAGTGTTAAAAGAATTAATAAATTACTATTAGCAGTTAAGGTAGATGGGGTGTCTAAATATTGGCCAATAGATTTTTCTTAACCTTCTGTAAGACATCTTTGTCAATGAACTTTCTAAATTAAGTATAAAAACTGGAAGTTAGGGACCATATTGTCTCGTTAAAGTACATTGAAATTTACGAAATCACAGTTATTTTATAAGTGTAATATTGGGGCAACTTAATTCTTTTTATTGAGGAAACATCAAACAATAATTTTTTTTGAAATTCAATGAGGTGATTCAGCTTTTCAAAATACCTTCGAAATATCAATTAAAATAAGGGGGTCACAAGCCTTATTTTCTTGGGGAAAAAAAACAAAGTGAATCTGTGAGCTACTGCTCCCTAATGATACCCCCGCCCCGCTAAAAGTATAAGGCAAAAGGAAATTGTTGAGTGACGAATCTGAAAACGCATCACACGGTACAGCTGACTCATATAAACCCTGAAACCAAATTTCAGAAATCCTTGTAATGTAGTTCCTGAGAAAGATGCGACGAAAAATATTCATGGGACAGACGGACAGACTGACGGATGGACGGATGGATGCATGCATGGACGGACGGATTGAAGGATGGACTAAAAGACAGAGGTAAAACAGTATACCCCCACTTTTTTAAAGCGGGGGTATAAAAACGTAACTTGTCCTTTCAAATTCAATATAATTATTTGTCCTTGATTTTAAACGGACTTTCCAGAAAATTTTAAATACAAGAGTTTGCACACGCTGAAATGTCTCGCATTCTTTACTAACCATTGATTTTATGTTGATAGTCCTAAATATAAAGCTCAACTACAACCATCACATACACATGATAAACTTAATAAGATCCAAGAAAATGAGGTCACGGTCAGATAAACCAAACTGGAAATACATGTACACCTTGCAATCATTCCATACACCAAATATGCTTTAAATATAGTTGACCTATTGCACATAGTACATGTATCTAAGAAACAAACTTAACCAGGAAAACATTGATCAATGAACAATGAAAATGAGGTCAAGGTCAGATGTACCCTGCCAGACGGACATGTACACCTTACAATCATTACATGCTTAAAATATAGTTGACCTATTGCATACAGTATCTAAGAAACAAACCTAACCAGGAAAACTTAAGATTGACCAATGAACCATGAAAATGAGGTCATGGTCAGATGGTAATTTCCAGACAGACATATACACCTTACAATCATTCCATACACCATATATAGTTCACCTATTGCTTAAAGTACAAGAAAAACAGACCAAAAAAACAAAAACTTAACATTGAGCAATGAAAGGTGAAAATGAGGTCGAGGTCAAATAAAAACATGCCAAACTGACATGTACATCGTAAAATATTTTCATACACCAAATATAGTTGACCTATTGTATACAGTGTTAGAAAAACAGACCAAAACACAAAAACTTAACTTTAACCACTGAATCATGAAAATGAGGTCAAGAGGTCAGATGACACCTGCCAGTTGGACATGTACACCTTACAATCATTCCGTACACCAAATATAGTTGACCTATTGCATACAGTATAAGAAAAACAGACCAAAACACAAAAACCTAACTATAACCACTGAACCATGAAAATGAGGTCAAGGTCAGATGACACCTGCCAGTTGCACATGTACACCTTACAATCATTCCATACACCAAATATAGTAGACCTATTGCTTATAGTATCTGAGAAATGGACTTGACCACGGAAACTTAACCTTGTTCACTGATCCATGAAATGAGGTCGAGGTCAAGTGAAAACTGTCTGATAGCTATGAGGACCTTGCAAAGAAACGCACATACCAAATATAGTTATCCTATTACTCATATTAAGAGAGAAATTAAGAATACTAAAAATCTTAACTTTTTTTCAAGAAGTCACTGAATCATGAAAATGAGGTCAAGGACAATGGACATATGGCAGACGGAAACTTCCTAACATAAGGCATCTATATACAAAGTACATTGTAGGAAGGATCCAGGTCTTCTACTTTCTGAAATATTAAGCTTTTAAGAAGTTAGCTAACGCCGCCACCGCTGTCGCTCCCGGATCACTATCCCTATGTCGAGCATTCTGCAACAGAAGTTGCAGGCTCGACAATAATTAAAAACCAGTTTTTTAATAGTTCCTCTCTCTTTTCTGATTTAGCAGTATGTTTGTTTCCAACATTAAATCATTCCTTTTACAATTAAACATATATTGATGAAAACATGTCTTTTTTTCCTAAAATTGTATTTTTTTTAGCATATTATGTGCCAGATCAATATAATGGGAGGGGGCACTGACTGCCTGAGAGGGGGACCCACTCAAGTCATGCTTCAGTGATTCCCTAAATAATCAACCAAATTTTTCTCACAAAGGGGGAAGGGGGGGGGGGCTGCTTCTCTGAATAGATACACTCAATATGCTCTGATGTATAAGAAAATGGGCAGATTTTTATAATTATAATGTAAAATTTATGATATATATTGGAATCATCTAAGTAAATCAGGTACAATATTAATTTCAGAATCTGCTATAATTACCTATTTGACACAATTGTATGTCTTGATCTGACAATTCTGTCTTCTCCATTTCTGAAGCAACATCATGGTATTTTCCGTGTATTACAGCTTCAAGAAGGTGTTTGTATGCATCTCCACCTTTGCGAATCAATTTGTTGTATAAAAGTCTATTACTTTCCTGTTGAGTGAGTGAAGAATTACAAATTTCCTCTTTTTCTTCAGTACTTAAAACATCAGACTGATACAGGTGGTCAGCTATGTCTGTTTTGGAGTCAACACCATGGACAAACATCATGTAATTCTTTTGTAGTTTAACTTTGTGTTTATTCAACGCTGTAATATAAGAAAGGTTAACTTTGTTTTAACCTGTTTATTTACTTTTTACTTTAATTATTTAATTTTTTATTAACTGTGTATTTGCATTCAAGTGTCACAGGTCAAATTTATTCGTTCATTGTGTATTAATTTACGTTTTTTGATTGAGTTAAGCCTTCCAATTGATATTTTATAGTGTGTTTTTCTATGTTGTGATGTTATACTATTGTTTCAGAAAAGGGAGAAGGTTTGGTACCATTAAAACGTTTAATCCCGCTGCAAATGTTTGCACCTGTCCTAAGTCAGGAATCTGATTACAGTAGTCAGTCAGGGGACTTATTGAAATAAGTGATTTTTAAATCACTTATTTAAGTAGCAAATTTGAAGTTTTGTCACAAATTGTGTGATTTTGTAGTTTTACCAAAATTTTAAACACATAGGTTTAGATAATATCTTTTCATTAGTAAAATTGAAAAAAATGAACTTTTTGCTTCTTTTAAGCAGCAAGGTTTAATGCCTTTGATGCAATCATTTAGCTGCAAATTCTATTTTAGTTGAAAAAATGCTATAACTAGAGGCTCTCAAGAGCCTGTGTCGCTCACCTGTATTTACTGATGCTTTGGAAATCATGTAAAATAAGGTTAAAATCATGATTAATAGTATTAGATATTAGATATTATAATGATATCTAAGATAATAACAAAAAACTGCAAAAATTTTGTAAAATTACTAACTCAGGGGCAGCAACCCAACAACGGGTTGTCAGATTCGTCTGAAAAGTTCAGGGCAGATAAATCTAAATCTGATGAACATTTTTGCCACCTGTCAGATTTGCTCTAAATGCTTTAGTTTCAGAGATATAAACCAAAAACTGCATTTTACCCCTATGTTCTATTTTTAACCAAGTCAGCCATGATGGTTGGAAGGCGGGGTCATCGGACAAATTTTTTAAACTAGATATCCTAATAATGATTATTGCCAAGTATGGTTAAATTTGTCCTAGTAGTTTCAGAGAAGAAGATTTTTGTAAAAGATTACAAATTGTAAAAAAATTGTAAAAAATTGACTACTAAGGGCAATAACTCCTAACGGGGTCGACTGACAATTTTGGTCATGACAACTTATTTGTAGATCTTACTTTGCTTAACATTATTGGTGTTTACAGTTTATCTCTATCTATAATAATATTCAAGATAATAACCAATAAAATGCTCCGCAGGGCGCAGCTTGATACGACCGCAGAGGTCGAACCCTGAACAGTTGGGGGAAGTATGGACACAACATTCAAGCTTGATACAGCTTTGTATTTGGATTGTGATTAAATATTTGACACAGCATAGGTTTCTAACACAGAATGAATGTGGTCTAAGAACTTAAAAATTTTAAATTGGACATTCACCTATTATGGTCCAATATCCAAAATCAGCATATCAAAGAACCCCAAGAATTCAATTTTTGATGAAATCAAACAAAGTTTAATTTTGGACCCTTTTGAACTCAATGTGGACAAAGTTGATAACGGGGCCCAAAAATCAAAAATCTAAATACATAGTTAGATTCAGCATATCAAAGAACCCCATATATTCAATTTTTGTTGAAATCAAACAAAGTTTAATTTTGGACCCCGATTTGGACCAACTTGAAAACTGGGCCCATAATCAAAAATCTAAATACATGTTTAGATTCAGCATATCAAAGAACCCTAAGAATTCAATTTTTGTTAAAATCAAACTAAGTTTAATTTTGGACCCTTTGGACCTTAATGTAGACCAATTTGAAAACGGAACCAAAAATTAAGAATCTAAATACACGGGTAGATTCGGCATATCAAAGAACCCCAATAATTCAATTTTTGATGAAATCAAACAAAGTTTAATTTTGGACCCTTTGGACCTCAATGTGGACCAATTTAAAAACGGGGCCCAAAATCCAAAAACTAAATACACGGTTAGATTCAGCATATTAAAGAACCCCAAGAATTCAAGAATAAAACCCCACTGAAATTGGTCAAGAAATAAGCAATTTATAGGAAGTATCTTCTTTTGCACAATCCTGTGCTATTAAATATTTCTTGCTATTGTGCAATACTGTACAATTGACAATTTCTTGCTATTGTGCAATATTGTGCTATTGGATATTTCTTGCTATTGCACAATACTGTTCAATTGAAGATTTCTTGCTATTGTGCAATACTGTGCAATTGAAAATTTCTTGCTATTGTGCAATACTGTGCAATTGAAAATTTCTTGCTATTGCACAATACTTATTATATAATAATTTACACATCCTGTTTGGTGTGTATCTCCTACCATATCATTATTATTTGATTTTAAATATAAATCAGAAATAACCAACTTAAAATGGAAAATTTTAAAAGAAACAAAAAAGGAAAAAAAGAAAAAAAAGGAAAAAAAATAAATCCCCCCCCCCCAATTTTTTGAACCCCCTTATGATTCATCACCCCCAAACTCAATCCCAGCCTTCCCTTTGTGGTATGGTATCTTGCAGTACAATTTCAGAGAGATCCATACACTTGAACACAAATTATTGTCTGGAAACTAGAAAAATGTGTTTTTTGGCCCCTTTTTGGCCCCAAATTCCTAAACGTTTAGGGCAATTACCCCCAAACTCAAACCCAGCTTTCCCTTTGTGATATGGAACCTTGTAGTACAATTTCAGAAAGATCCATACACGTACACACAAGTTATTGTCCTGAAACTAGAAAAATGCTTGTTTTTTGCCCCTTTTTTGGCCCCCAATTCCTAAAATATTGAGGCAATTACCCCCATCATCCATCCCATCCTTCCCTTTGTGGTATGGTACCTTGAAGTAGAATTTCAGTGAGATCCATACACTTGAACACAAGTTATTGTCTGGAAACTAGAAAAATGTGTTTTTGGCCCCTTTTTGGCCCCCAATTCCTAAACGTTTCGGCAATTACCCCCAGACTCAATTCCAGCTTTCCCTTTGTGATATGGAACCTTGTAGTACAATATCAGAAAGATCCATACACTTACACACAAGTTATTGTCATGAAACTAGAAAAATGCTTGTTTTTTGCCCCTTTTTTGGCCCCTAATTCCTAAAATTTTGAGGCAATTACCCCCAAAATCAATCCCAGCATTCCTTTTGTGATATGGAACTTTGTGGTACAATGTCAGAGAGATCCATACACTAACACACAAGTTATGTCTGGAAGTTACAAAAATGCTTATTTTTGGCCCCTAATTCCTTTACTGTTGGTACCATAACCCCCAAAATCAATCCCAACCTTCCTTTTGTGGTATTGAACCTTGTGGTAAAATTTCATAGATATCCATTCACTTACACTAAAGTTAGAGTGCGAAAACATATGTGTCTTCGGACGACGACGACAACGACAACGACGACGCCAACGTCATACCAATATACGACCACAAAAAATTTTTTGCGGTCGTATAAAAACTGCAAAATTTCCTTAAAATTACCAATTCAGGGTCAGCAACCCACCAACAGGTTGTCAGATTTGTCTGAAAATTTCAGGGCAGATAGATCTTGACTTGATAATCAGTTTTACCCTATGTCAGATTTACTCTAAATGCTAAATGGTTTCGGAGATATAAGCCAAAATCTACATTTTACCCCTATGTTCTATTTTTAGCCACGGCGGCCATCTTGGTTGGTTGGCAGGGTCATCGGACATATTATAAACTAGATACCCTAATGAAGATTGTGGCCAAGTTTGGTTAAATTTGGCCCAGTGGTTTCAGAGGAGAAGATTTTTGTAAAAGTTAACAGACGACGCCGGACGCAAAGTGATGAGAAAAGCTCACTTGGCCCATCGGGCCAGGTGAGCTAAAAATGGCTTTACATAATGAACTGACACTTTCTTAACAGATTTTTCCCAGCAGTGGGTCAGTATTTTTCCTGTAAAATTCAAGGTTTCATCTTATAGATTATGTAATAAAATTCTTCTGTTCGCTATCAAAATTTCACTGTTCGGGGGTGTTGAAATAAGTGGGGGTTATTAAAATAATGATACTTAAAGAAGTGATTTTTTGGAAGGAAATTGAGGCATGATACTTAAACAAGTGATTTTTATGTCATTATCCTAGATTTAGTACAAGGTCATCACCTGACATGACCTGGTCATCCTATCAACACAGATGTTGGTTCTGATAACCCGTACGAAAATATAAGGCGTATTATGCCTGGAAATCTGGCGTAAACCAGGCATAAGTGGTAGTGTCAACGTATATTTGTTCCGCCTAACAGAAGTTCCACTGGAAACTTTGTTGTGAACAAATATTCTATACCATTTATTCTGTTAGGAACATATACTGTAATATTTATTCCTGTGGAAATAATATTCCAGAATATTTTTTCCTTTTGGAACTTATATTATGAAGGAACTTTATTCCGTGACAGTAGTTACATGTCCAGATCCAGGCGTAATGGAGCAGGAAATGTAAATTTGTAGCATTTACAGGCCTAGAAAAAAGTGGTAAACCTGGCGTAAATTGAAATAAGCCAGGCGTACATTTTCTAAGGGCGTAAAACTGTTGGAAAGGCGTCAATCATTATACCCATAATGCTTTGTTTAAAGGATCATGGGAAATGTTTTCAAAATTTGGCTCTCTGGTAACTTGCAAGAGTTGAACATATGGCAGCTTGATATATTCAGGGGAAATTAGCTAAGTTTAAGTGCTTTTTGAAAGAATTTGAAATTGGAATTATGGAATCAAATTGATGAATGAAAATTGTGAAATGAAAGGAAAGTAGTATACATGGCCATGGTAAATAATAATTATGTGAGTAACTAAGTTATTAATTTTTTATTTTTTACCATTAATTTCAAATTCTGGAATTGACCCTCATCCTTGGATAATAACATTTAAATCTTTCACAAGTTGAATTACAGTATTATCATTGATTTTTTTTAGTAATTAAATGACATTAATTTTGAAAACAACTTAGTCAAAATGCTAGTTTTATTTCAAGAAATTTTAATTGTCATAATTCTTATTTAAACTTAAAAC